TTTTAAGACCCATTCCCAGCCCTGAGTCTCACAGTATAAGACTTTTCTAAACAAGTTTTCTCATTATCTCCATGCTCATGTAAGTTCCTTCAAAAGGGCCAATGAAAGCAAACCCAGAAGACTTGACATTTCTGTATTTTGTAAGGAGGGTCTTAAAAGAAGAAGGGGGAAAAAAGCATTCCTATTGGGATTCTATACAATATTCACTCAACTACCATCAAGTAGATTATGCCTCTCACTTTATAGGGGAGATTAGAACCCAGAGGGTTTTTGTGGATGCTAATCTTTATGGAAGTAGACTGCCATGTCTTTCTCCCACAGAGGAGCTGGTGGGTTCAAACTTTCTATTAGTAACCTTTCTATTAGTAACCAAGTATTTAACTACTGTATCACTACAAACCTTTACACAATATTATATATTTTAAAAGTATATCACGAATTTGTGTTATAACTTACAGAAATTCTAACAGTAGTGGTAACTCAGGGCTAAATCATTTCTTAAAAGGTTTTCACGAGGATACGAAGACTAACTCACCTCAATAAGGCCAGGTCAAGGACATTGGTGGCACAATTAGAGTGCCTGGCTGCTGACTGAAAGTCCACCCAGCAGCTCTGTTGGAGGGAGCTATGGCAGTGGTCCCATAAGACTCAATTATAGAAGCCACATGAAGTAGTTCAATTTTGTCCTATAGAAATCAATTCAACAGCGAATGCATTTGGTTTTTTTGTTTCTGGAAGTCAGTGAAAAGACTCCTGGTAGTGCAACTCATGGTCCCTTCATAAGAAAAAAGGCCTGAAAGATAAAAGGCCTAGAAATATACTCCACTGTTGGAAAGCCTATGGGATAGTTCTACCTGCCACATGGGGTCGAGTCACTATGAGTCAGAATTGACTTGCTGGCACCCAACAAAAGGGTTAGTGAACTTTTAATGTCCATAGAATCTATCTTGGTTTGATAGCAAACTTCTAACCAAAGGTTCCAGAGGAGAAATATTTTCTTCAGAACTATATAATGACAATGGATATTCAAAATGAAGCCCCAATGAATGGTTCCCGCGGCTGTCTGAGTCACCACAAGATTATATATCTTTATGTTAACTCGTACCATTCAGTTCATCGAGACACAGTTCACCTATCCTAGTGGTGGTTTAGTGGGTTATGTTGCTAATTGGGAGGTCAGCAGTTCAAACTCATTAGGTGCTCAGAAGAAAGATCAGACTTTCTGCTCCCATCCACATCTGCAGAATTGGAAACCCAAAGATGCAGTTTTACCCTGTCCTGTGGGGTCACTATGAGTCAGAACTGACTAGATGGCAGTGAGCTGGTTTAGTTTTGAATGCAAGTTTGCCATATCTGCTGGTAAGAGAGGTGGACTACTTTTGTTTTGTGTATTTGAAGGGTGGGAGCTTCATGTTTTCCTAACTAATTACTACATAAAAATAGTTCAGATGTAGATGTATGGAGATTTCTGCTCAGCATGTGAGATAAAGTTCCTCCGTAAAATATGGCTGAAGGCTTATAGTGTAAGTTGAATAACAAGATGCAAATGGGGGTGGAATGTGGAAGAGAGGGAAGGAAAACCCAAAAGGTGTTTTGTGGGAATAGCATTCCGACAAATAGATGGTGATATTTTTATGAATATGTTCAAGAGACAGCAATTGTGGTAGTACTCAAATAGTATCAATAAAATACCATATAAAGAGAAAATAATGAGAACATTAAAAGAGTAATAATAAAATTAATGGGCTCTTCACTAGAATGGGCATACCAAGTATAAATAAGCTGAAGGCAAAGTGAAAGGGGGAACAAACAGCAAAAGCTGCAAAGCAGCTAACTGTTTTGCATGGTGTACCTCGAGAACTTAAAAGTGTGCCACAGGGGACAGACTTTAGATTCATGTATATAAGTTGATTTCAGCTTTTTTTTCTTCCTTAAAAACAAACTATCCAACCAAGATCTAAACATAAATAGTTCTACACCTAATCTGCAAATCTTAGTAATATGACAATAATACTCAACCAAAATTCCCATGCCTTTTTCTCTTAGATGACAAAAGTAGTAACCCTTTGCTGAGGAAAGCAATGGATACAAATGCCAGTAAAATAGGCTTCTAACTTCTGAAAGGGATTACAACAGTGTTATATAATGCCTTTGTCGAGACAGAGAGTGGAGGAGCAAGAGAGGTGGCTGTGGGCCCAGCCATAGCTTCTACTCTGGGACTAACACAACCCAGGGCAGAGCAGCTCGCATTTCTGCTGCTCGGGGCTGTCTCATCCTGGCTCCCTCTCCGGCCTCCTAGACGTCCACTTCCTGGTGGGAAGAGTATGGGGTGACAGGCATCGCAGTCAGGCTGGCTGTTGCAAAGAGGGACTGAGGAGGAAGTCACCTCCCTTCCTGTCCCCCTCTAATAATAATTTTTAACAAAGGTTTTAAGCTGAAAGAAAAACAAAGCACCAACCAATACATCTTCGGGCATTATAAAAACCTCAATAATGACCTCAGAAGGGTACATTAGGATTAAAGTTGCAGTATACAGCAATATAATGCCATTTCACATTTTTATTCGAAACCAATGGACCACTAGGTTGGGCACTGCTGAGACTGCCTTTTCCTTTTCCATTCTGATCGATTTCAGCTTTTTACTAATGAAAATAATTGGTTTCTATATATTAACAGTGATTGTGTCAACTTGGTTGGACCAGGAGTCTCAATGGTTTGGCAGTTAAGGTGTAGTAATTCCCCATGACCTGACCTAACAAAAGGTAGATCCATAACGGGATCTGCTATAAGCAGTTAATCCACTACAAGATTAACACCCATATTCAGGTCACAGCCTGATGCAATTTAAAGGACATTTCATTGGGGATGTAATCTGCTACGAATATAAGTAGACATTGTGGAAAAGCTTGCTGTGTTTCTTGCTGAGTCTAGATCCTGCATCTAGGTCATTGATCTCTGGTTCTTTGGACTTGAGCCAATTACCTGCCATATTCCCTGCTGATCCTGGGAGTCATTAGTGGCCTGCCATCTGACCTGCTGACTCAAACCTGTAGGAGCGTGCCTTTCGGTCATGAGCACTGAGAGCTAAAAGGGTGTAGGTGCTGGTAGCTAAGTGGGTCCCGGGATATGGAACCCTGAAAGAAAAGGGGATTGGGCTGAGGGATTATATAATAGGGCCTGCTCGCTATTTAACAGAGAGATATTCATCCACTCTGGGTCATGATACCAGTTAGATTTTGAACTATTTATATGGTCTTTCTCTTCTTTTTTTCTGCTTTGTTTTGGTGTATATCTAGATAAGGTAGGCAGGATAAGTAACCCCATGGAGATGACAAGGCCACGGTGCTGCGGTTGGGGCAGATGAGAAGGGAGGAGGTGGGGGCGGGGGGAGGTGAGTGGGGAGCCAA